CCTCCCCGGGGGTGAGTTGCCGGGACATGGTAATTAATGCTAATAGAAAAATTGCTGGGACGATTGGACGTGAATTGAGACGAGGTGGGACGGTCTGGAATTTTTTGCGACACAGTCGGAGGTCGCCCCCCCCCCTTCCCCGTGCAAAGGTATAGACAGTCGAGATAAGATTAGCCCCGCGTTCTTTTGATCCCCAGCTTCGTCGACGCTTCTCATACAAATCATATTTTCACGCTTCCTTATTTCTAGCTCATTATTACAAGTACATTTTATCTCATATATGAATGGGCCTGGATAGCTCAGTTGGAAGAGCATTCGCCTGGCAAGCGGGGAAGGTCCCCAGGTTCGAATCCTGGTCTAGCCCGTGATTTTTCTCGCCGAAAGTTAAATAAGTGGTGCGTCCTGGTGCGTATCTGCCCGAAGGTACACTCCTATTTATTACTATGGATATATAAGGACAATGTATTTCGAAAATATTGAAAGGAAACATTTGGTTCCCTTTATATCAAAATCCCCTCCCAGTCCATGTCGATTGCAAACACAGCGATTATCCGGCAAATTGACATTCGATTAAATCAAGCCGTAGTCGCGGGCGGAATTCGGCGCGGGTACAATAGCGTCGAAATAAAACCGTCTGTCCGCCGCGTTACTCGCGGGACTCGCTTGTGGAGTCGCGTGCACTCGTGACGTTCGATATGCGGTAACCGTCAGGGCAACGACACGATTACACTCGCGATTAATTTCTATCATATCGATCCCACGTCGGAAGTGCGCTCGCACGGTACCTGAACGGCCACCGTGTGCATGTGCCCGCTCTCTCCGTTTGCCGCCGATCATTATGGAGTCGTGCTCGCGCTCTCTCGAGCACGAACTGCGGGCGCGAAGAGCACGCGAGCACGCGTGCTCAAGTACGAGGCGCGGGCTAAGATCACGTCGTCGGGTTCGGGCCCGAAGTCGAGCGCCGATCACGGGTATTGTCTTCCGCACTCGGCCGATCGATCGATTAATTAATTACGATGGCAGGTTTGCGAAGTCAATATTGAATCCACGGTTAATGCGTTTCCGGCGACGTGACGCCGGATCGAGGTCCCCGGAGTCCGTGGGAGCGTCCGCCGGCGCTAGGCCATGCCGGCATTTATTCCGCCCGCATTTTAATCGCGCGTTCGAAAATATTGCTATTTTTACGCGGTCCCCTCCCCCGTCTCCCCCGCGATACAGGCGATCTCCGCTCGCCGACACATGACGCAAATAACGCCCCGACGCCGTGATTCGCGTCCGATCGCGTTGGTCCCCGCACCGCCCTCTGTGCGCGGCGTCGCTTTAATTTTAATCAATTTATTTCGCGGCATTATGCGCGCATACACCCCGCTCGACGAGATGATATCTCGGCACCGGCGAGCTCGAGCTCCGGATTAGCGAGATATTTCGACTATTGATCGCGAGGGAGAGAGCGATAAGTGCCACAAATTCGCGACTACGATACATCCACATGGTTTACGTCACAGCTACTTAGCAGGCAGAATTCTCTACGGTACAATCATGCGATGGTGGTGCCGGACGATCGTCGGGAGGGTCGCCGCTGGTTTTCACAGCTGCGAGATCACCGCGGGAGATCCGGATCGCGTAATTTACGGCGAGCCGAACGCCGCGATTGCGCGATCTAATTGCGCGTCCGGCGATAACATCGTATTTTTTATGCGACAGTCGCGCGTGCATGTGTCACGGCATGCGACACGCGACGCGCGGCTTTTTTCTCCCCTTCGATTAAATCCGCCACCACCGCGTGCGCCAGCGTACAACGGCATGCAAGGCACCAGAGGTTAGAGGAGACAGAGACATGATTTTTCAATTTTCCGCCCCCGAGATAGAAGTGGGAAAGTGCACTACTCCACATTGTTTCGTGATGGACGAGCTGGCCGTTTTCGCGGGCGAACCGCGCGCGCGCGAGATACTTAAACCGGACGTTGATGCATTAAAAGAAACGGAGGAGTCAAAGCAGACGTCGGAGATGGAACTCAAAGAGCGGGAAATGCTTTCGTTCCCGATTCCGAGCGAAGTATCGCACCGTTTCATCATTTCTGTATCGATATCACGAACGTCATTCCGCGACTTAACCCTTTTAAGGCAGACATTTCTGTCCGATCGATTCTTTTAAAACTTTGTACTCGGAGATGTTTCAGGTCGCTTATCATAATTATTATAAATCTGAAGTCTGATTTTTCAAGTTTAAAATGGCTGATCCTATATGGTAGAATATTTAAAAAATGTTTAATTTACATATGAGAGTCGGTTATAAAGGGTTTTAAATTTTTAATATTTTTAATATTATATTATACACCAAATTAAATTCTTCGAACTACGTTCAAGAGATATTTTTCTGGTATGAAGAGGCTAAATTGGCCCAAAAAGTCAAAATAAATATATTATCAGTATTTCAATGATTACAAATGAAGAAGAAAAAGGTGAGACAGCGTATGTTCCACTATGCCTCAAAGGGTTAAAGATAAAGGGACTAATGTCCTCCTTGCGTCTGCTATATTTTTACCGTGTCACGAGATGATGTAAAATTCGAAATAAACTTTAAAGATATTACAGAAAGCGTGCAAATTTTTGTGAAATATAAGAAACACGCGGACAATCGACAAGCGAAATCCCAAGATTCGGAGAAGGACGCTTCGTTGCTTCTCTCGCTTCGTAATATCGCGGAGATTCGTGAAACGGCGAGCTCGTCGTTCGAAGGAGCCGCGACGAGTCGTAAACGTGTACTATGTCGGACGCTTGTACGTTTAATGGAGAAGAAAATCGGGACGAGTGACGTCCCGACGATTCTACGAACGTGGGTTTTCACGGACACCAAATCACGCGTTCAAAGTACACGCGTTACGACCGGTCGGTCCTTTCGCTGTCTTTCTCTCGAAACGGTGCAACGAAATCTCCATGAAAAATCTAGCACGAGAATGTCATCGAGCGTGCGCGAGCACTCGCGAAAAGTCGCGATACGTCACCGGTGATTCGCGCGCGCGGGAAAGAGGCTTAGCGGTTCCGCGCGCGGCCTGCAAAACGCGCTGCGTTTTACATCCCCGCGCGTAAACCGTATTATCGTCAATGAAAATCCTGGCGGGTACTCGAAGGAGATTGATCTATCGGCGGATTATGATGCCAATGGAGAGCCCGGGTATCGATGAAGCGAATACACCGACGATGATCCTTAATTTTTCATCTCACGAGAGCGATTCGCGGTAACAAGTTTCCGATGCGCCGCGCCGCCAGGAACGAGAAATGACATTTTGCAACGGACCGCTCTCGCTATTTTTCAAGCAGCTCTCGATTCGTCCGGTGATTAACGTCCGTATCGCTCATTTTCGTCGCGCACCCGCGTCGCCGGGCTCCATATTACGTATATCGCGATGATAATGTGGTCATCACATGAGATGAATGGAAAAAAAGGTCGTTCGCGCTTTATGAACTGCAATTCATGTAAGTACGGAATTGAATGATCGGATGACGCCGTTAATTGGTGTTACGTTAATGTGCTCTGCCCTCTCCAGTCCGGACGAGAATACAACGTGTGGTACAACGTAAAAGTACGTTACTTCATTTTTATTCTACTCGAGCGAGTAATTTGCGGCGGTGCTCGCTCGTTCGCTCGCGCGAACGAGAGGCGCGTCCCGTTCGCCGTTGTCGGTTCCACCGAACAAAACTCAAAGATATACAAAACACGACAAACGGAAGAACGTAAGCGCGTAAGCCAACAAATCGTAAATATACGGCCAATTTAAAGTTCTCTCAGTAACAATAACGTTGCAGTAACATTTCAAAAACGTGTGCCCTCCGCTGCGCTCTGCCTCACTGGTACAAGCTCGCCAGCACGTGTAACCGTATGTGAATTCATTCGTGTTCACGCTGTAAAATCATTTTGCGCGGATATTCCAAGGAAATCGCTGACGGCGTTGCCCGGCGCCATCGACGCTACCCCATGCAAGTCGGGAAAAATTGCTAAATCCCGTAAATGTACGGTCAGTAAAGGTTTCTCTAATTTTTCGAACAACCGGTGGGATTTATTGTTCGTCAATTTTATCGCGACGGAAAGGAAAAATTCCGACGGTTAGATATAAAGATTCCAATAAAAGATAATAGATAACTGCACGGTTTGCAAAGTTAATAATTTTGATTTTCTTATTTCAATTAGAGTCGATTTGAGTCTCGTGATAACTGTCGAGGCGCCAGACAATTTTTTAGAGGCGTATCGAGAGCTCTAGAATTTTTTTTTGAAGAGTTAGCATTTACTCACAATTATATAAAAATTCTAAAAGTGGGACATTGACTTTATAACGGTCCGAAAGAGAAGCTAGGTCGCGGAACTCGTAGAAATAACTGTTTATTCGGGCAGGACAGGCCGGGGCGCGTCGTATCCGCGTGCTCTCTCCATATTGCCTCTTCACGCCCCAATTCGCGATTATGCAACGTTTAATCGGGGAATTAAAAAAGGAGTCTCGGAAGTGCAAATTTCTTTCCGCGGGAGTGAGCGCGCATCGAGCGAACTGCGACAATTCCAGTGGATTTCCACCCGAAGAAATTTACGATATCTCATGGAGTGCGTCTCCGGATTAAGCGAGATCGAAAAAAAAGAACCTCGATCTTTCCATTACTGCCGTTATTGCTTTATATTGCGCTACCACTATCATTATTTGATACGTCATCGGGTGATTGTGCGACTATGTCTCGACGGAAGGGAAAAAGAAGGGACGTTAAGCGCCACGAGGACGTTAATAGCGTCGCGTTTACGATTTCGTACGCATCGATTGCTCGAGGAAGCGAAGCGAAGCGAAAGAAGACTTTTCGCTCGATGTGACGTAGAATGATTCTCGCGTCGTTTAAAATGTGTCGCGACGGTACACCGGCAGCTTGCTGGTACCAGAGGCGCGGCGCTCCCGTGGAGTGCCCCCGTCTTTTTAACTCACGGATATAGAGAGCAGAGGCGATATCGTCCGATATCGTACCGTGTCGCCTACCTTCTTCTCCCATTGGAGAACGTAGGGCACTGGGTGCTCACCGGGGAACTCTACGTGACAGTTGAAGACAACGCTCTCTCCGAGGATAGCCGTGATGTGCACCGCGTCTTGCTGACAGAGTCCTGAAACAGAGACAGTTATCGGTCGTTAGTGACATGATAAAGAATAGTTGGGGATTAAATAAGCGGCAAGTTTAGATATTGCCGTGTCTTAATTACTGTCGTTATCAATCGCCAGTGCGATTTCCCCATTATGAAAAATATAGATTTCATAAAGTAGGTGAAAATATATGGTAATATATTTCATACATTTGGTATATAAAAATTCTATTTAAAAAATCAGATCTAATATCATATATGTCAGAAATATACTAAAAATGTATGTGAAATATATGAACAATATTTAAATTACGTTTTTATAATTTCGCAATAACGCTCTTCTCTGCCGCGAGGGGATCGCACGTTACACGTTCTCGTATTTAAAAATCAACCTACAGCAGTATAAGAAGTGGCGAAAAATCAGATCTAACAATTGTGGCAAATGAAATTAATTTGATCCCTGCTGGTTATTGTGCTGAAGACTCCGTGAAGTCGAATGTATACAATATTTAAATTCATCACTGGACAATAGACAGTAGATCTTTAATGACATCTTATATTGTTTCTTTGGTCCTTGACTCATCTACGTTTGTTGTTAATATAACGAGCGTTTGACTTTTTAAACTACATCCGCATTAAGTAACGCGGCGTTGCTTTAAATCGCTATGGGACTGACGGTAGAAAAACGAACCGGGACGCTTTTGGAAAAATTAATCGTAACATCCCGCGCCTCCATCTCGCTCGCAAAAGACGTTTGAGCAGCGAAAGCTCATAATTCTTGCCGCGAGGGAGTCTCTCGCGGCGGCAGAAAAAAACCGCGAGGGGCGGGCCGTCCCCGGCGCGGCGGGAAGGCATTAAAAGCCATTAAAGGTAAATCAGGGCCAGCGGTTGTCGCTCCTTTCCGCGGGCCAGGTCGGGAAAGCCCGGTGCCGCACGTGGCGGAGGCGTCGTGCGAGATTAACTTCGCATTAACCTCCACGCTATGTCGAATAAGATCGAATACGACCCTGCTCTCCGTGTGCTCAAGATACGCCGACCCGTGCGAGAAACCCCCTCTCGGTCTCCGGCGTGTCGCGCGATGATAACGATGATATTTCGCTCGCCGCCCTCTCTCTCGCGCGCGCGCGCGCGCGAGCGCAATGTCGACGGATAGTTAACATACTTCGATACATTCGTGTTCTTGCTGGTCTTATACCCTGTTTACGATTGGCGCGCGACTGGGAGAGATATCGCTATAAATTATATCGGGGAACGTCGTCCCAGGGTGGAAAAAGTAGCCGGCACAGCGTGACGTGGTGAAACGACGGTGGTAAACACGTCAGCGAGGATAATACGGGCGGGCCTGAGGAAGAAACTTCTCCGGGATAATTAATGTTCTTAGCGCGAGCGACGAACGCGACGGATTAGGGGGAAGGGGGGGGGGCGAGCCGCTATTGGATAAATTGATATCTGAAATTCAAAACGCTTTCAGTTTTCTGGATGGCAAGTTTCTACGTCCTGCCACTGAATATTACTTTCGCCGCTGGCTCGCTGCGCACCGTTTACTTTCCAACCAAACAACTTTGCGCGAGATGTATATGGTGTACACAGAAAATATCGAATACGGACGAGGCGCGAATATGACGCTAATGTGACTTTTTAGTTTTGTTTAAGAGTGTTCGTATTATTCAAACGTCTCGGGGACACCGCGGAATAAGAGACGTGAGATATGTGGGGCTTGTCAAATGCCCGAGGCGAACAAAAGGAGAGTCTGTTGTGGCGAGCAACTAGGGGGAACCGAACTCCAAATACTCTTAAACTGATTCGCAGAAATATATGTCAGCGCAGTCTGCTATCCGCGCAAAGTAATCGCAAAGTTCGTGTCGCAAGAAGCTCTATCGGTCGAGGGGACACAAATCGGGAATGACAGCCGATCTACTTTGCGTCTGGAGAAAAGTTGGCGACTAGGAAATATCGATCTGACTGCTGACAAGCAAACTTTCGGACGAATCTGTCGCGGCCCTTACATTTTCGTTTTATCTTCGCCTTTTCGTTGCTGCGTCACGATCGTCGCGATTAACGTTTCACTGCGGTAAACAGCTGCCGCATTCGTGCGCTTTTTACTACTTCACGAACTACTGTTCTCCACGAGTTCCTAATGCGGCGGTACCATTACGGTCGGATTTTTGTCACGAAACGACCGCTATACTTGATTGATGTCCCACGACTATTCAGGACTTAAAAGTACAACGTTAATCGCCGCCAACTTTTCTCAAGAGAGACTATAAAATGCATTTCGAGCGTTTCGAGACGCCGTTGACAGTAATTACATTGTAACATTGAATTATCGCAATATCCATCAGTCGACACGCGAGCTGCAAATACTTTGGAATTTTTACGCCGAGCGACAACGCCGACACAATACGTACACAATTGTTCGTGTTCATCCAAAATGCGACTTCGCCATTATGCAGACGCGAAATTGCGCGAAACGGGCGCGCCTCTCCCCTTTTGGCGTAGACCGCGCATCCGTATGACTTCGCTTAATGCCCGGCGAACTTTAGGAACAGTCGTCAAGCCTCGCGTTGCGCGCTCGCATCAAAGCATAATGCTGCAACGTCGGCCGTGCGATTTCCTCGGAAAAGCCGGCGACCAAAACCGCCGGCAAAATCGCTAACATCAAGGGCAGAGAATCGCGCGTCGCGTTGTCTCGCGTCGCACGTAGAGGGAAAAGACAGACCGCGGTCGGATGGAACACGATGATATCCATTTCAAATAATGGACGCGACTTTGATACCTATCCCTTTTGCGATCCTTCGCGTTGCAAATACGGACACGTTTTCGGTGCTCGCGCGACAAAGGGGAGCGTAATAAATCTCTCCCCGGGCGCAAATTCCCCGAAACGCGTTTCGCGACAGCCCTACGGACACGCCGCCGGATGAGTTCTGAATCGCATGTGCTTCCACCGTCAAAAAAGTACGAGCGGGAATTTCAACGAAATTGTGTTACGTCGAACCGAGGCGCCGCCACGGTTCTTCCACGCATCGTATTTGTCCGTCGTTATTATTAACACCATGGTGATATTTGTTAAATATTTTTACCTTCCTTACACGATGTTATCTGCAGCGAATCGCAGCGAAATGATATTTGACAAATTTTCTGATGAAGTTTCATTTAATTCGATGTTATCTACGTTGTCGTAAATTATACGACACATTCGGATAGATTCCCGCTTTCAGATACAAACCAAAGTCGAGAATGTCGCTAAATGATTCTGTCGCTGCCGCATCAATATGCCCAGATGTCTCGTGATACAAGCTCTCGCGATGCATATCCGCCACGGACGGATGTGGACACGTCAGGTCGCGAAGCCGCATCGAAGCCGGCGTGTGCATTACGTATGCATTGTGTAATATCATGGATCGCGGCTTCTCGACATCTGGCCCCGGTGAGCCATCGATAGTTCGACGTTTCGCCAAAGGCAGTTTTCGATAAGGGACGTATGTACGTACGAGCGCGGCTCGCGGTAACGTTCGACAGCGAGGTCGTAGAGGAGAGAGGTCACGCTAACTCCTGTGTCATACCTACGATACTCCCGATCTAAACGTAACGTAGGTATCGCGAGATAGCGGGAACGTTTCGGAAAACCGTCCCGAAAGATCGAGAATTGCTTGCATCGCGATACCGATCTCTATTTATCATTTGGGACCCCAGCAGAAAGATTGTCGTAACCGTTTACGATTCCATCGTAAGACGTAAGTCGGTATCGGTAGTCAACGCACAAAGAATTGTCGTATCACATCTCATTCGTCGAGTCGCGAGGCGACACGTCTACGACAATTCTTGGTACGTTAACTTCCGACTTGCGACTTAAGTCCTACGACGGAATCGGTGACGACAATCTTTCTACTCGGGCCCTTTACCTGCCAAATGATAAACAGAGACCGGCGTCGCATTCATCTCATTCGTTGAGTCGCGAGGCGATATGCGTTTACGACAATTCTTTGCGCGTTAACTTTCGACGCCGACTTACGTCTTGCGACGGTATCGTAAACAGCTACGACAATCTTTCTGCTCGGGCCCAAAGCCAGTCGAAAGCTTTGTCGATTCAACGTGAAATTAAACCCCTCCGCGTTGTCGCGAAAGCCAAAACGCGATCGACGTGGTCGCGCGGCCCCGCGTTGTTAACGTAAAACGGGGTCGGACGGAGCCGTGACGGTACTATTGATATTGCACGAGAAAATCGGCATAACACCCACCGCGCCTCTGATCATGCAGCAACCCCTCGTTTTAATCCGCCCCCTCGGTGTGTACGCGGCGCGAATAATAATCCGGACTTGGACGCGAGCAACCGGCGCACATTTGCGCGGCCATTATCGCCATTGTCGGCGGGTCCTCCTGGGGATAACGCGGCGTCCAAATAACCGTTTTTATTGTTACTTGTTATTAAATTTTCAACGGTCTGTCTGCAGCGTGCGGGCGCGTGTACGCGACGCGAACACCTCGTTATCTCGGCTAAGCGAAATAAAGCCTCTCATCGTGCGCTTCGTGTACACGTGTGCAGATAATAATTATAATCATCATGGTGTTGCGATACGCGCGCATGACGTTCGTTAATTTGCCCGTTGAACAAGCCTGGGAAAAAAATCGTACCTGCGCACCGTGAAATACAACATTTATCCTCCATCTTCGCGCGGACATTAATTTGCGTTCAAATGCGAATGTTAAAATATTGATGTACCAAAGTACGCGTGGAGGCGGGTCTTCCTTCGTTCTTCCAGGATTTTACGCAACGCGTTGTCGCGAGGCCGACCGGGACGATACACGTCCCTTGATAATGCAAAATTGCCGGTCTAATTGCGATAATCGCGCGTTCCTACATTATACCCGCGGCAACGGTATCAGCGCGGATCGCTCGGCCCGTACAAGCCGATCCGGCGCGCGCGATAAAGCTCGCGCGTTTAATAATTCGTGCGCACGCGAGGCGAACGCGTCGGGAATTATTTTGCTTGTCGACCCCGCGGTCGGGGAAAAGTTGGTCGGGTCGTATTAACCGATCATCGGAAGATCCGCGGGAGAGGCGAGCAATCGGCGCGTAAATTTGCTTTATGCGCGGCAGAGACTTTTCCGTTTCGCAGCCCGTTAACTCGACGAGTGAGGAGGTTTAGACGGAATCACTTCCACGTCGTTTTGGCAACCCGCCTTCTATTTCGCGGTTGTTTTTCCCGGCGAGATAAACAGATTGAGCAATTCATTTGAATGTTCTGCGGGGAATATGTATGCAGCTGCTTGCACGGGGACGCGAAATGCGAAAAATTTCGTTTATCTCCGCTCGGTACGAAAGCGAAATATTTTCTTTCGAAATAAAATATCTCGCTCCTGCGTTTTAACAAACTGAAACGGATATTGCATTAAAACCCGCTTTCAGATTTCCGCTCTCTTTCTCAATGGAGATATTAATAAATTCTGTGCAAAGAATTTTTTAATATTACACAATTTTAAGTAACTTCTCAAATAAACCGCACATATAAATGTGTTAATTTAATCACATTATACGCGAGTCATTTAAAGCTATAATTTTTTTATTGAAAACTGTGTGAGGATTTAATGTATTTTGGTGCGTTTACGCCGTTCGCGTTCACCTCGAGAGCACGAGAATGTTGAAACAAGCCCACGAAGCAGCTCCTCATCTTAGCCAACGAATTTTCAGATAGCGGCGAAGCGTGAAATTAGCGAGCCATTCCATCAGCTCGTACCTCGTGTAAGCTAAGTAGCCAGGTGTGTGTTGGGGCGGCTCCGCGCACAAGATATCCAATTGGATGAAGCGGAAGGTAGAACAATTAAGCGGAGCTAACGAGTATACTGTTGCCTTAATGAGCTCAGGATTCGAAGATAGGTTTTAATTATTTCGTATAAACAAAACCGGTAAATGCAACTCGGGCTCGACGCGGGTAAAACGCGAAAATCCTCTCTCGTGCGAGGGAGCTGTCGCTTTGAGGACCCGACACCCGCGGACCCTCTACTAAAAGTATCGTCGATACTTAAATTTACGCGCGCGCTATTACGATTTTCATACGCGCGAGAATGCCGCGCCTGTCGGTAACAGATATAAAATCGCGTTTATCCGCCCGCCGTTAACGATTCCGCCGTGAACTTGTCGAGTTGAGGATATCGCGCGCGAAAATGAGGCGCGTTGAGAGCTCGGCTAAATTCTCCCCGCAAAGAGAGAATGCTGATCGCTGACTACGCCAGTCCTCCGTGCAGCGTCACTCGCGCAAAAATACGGGCATCGGCCCAGAATCTCGGTGCTCCACATTGTCTGTTGACGACAACGTCGCGGAATGTCGATCATGGCCGGTCACGCTGTCGTCGAGTGTTATCTTGAGGCCTGTCGATCGATCGCGGGTTTCCCGTGCGCGACGGGGCTCCAACCAAGGGCAACATATACCCTCCAGGTCGGCACAGCGCGTCGTTTGTAACGAGTTTCATGGCTCGCCATTCGCGACGCTTTGATGCTCGCTATGAGGAAGAAATCGTAATCGCCCGTCCCCGCAACGCGCACACACGCGGAGACACAAACTCCACGGAATTTATAGAGTTATGCATCCTACTCGGGACACGCTATTGTACGTTAAAGAGAAATTTATCGCGTTCACGAAGCCCTTAAAAGGGGAAGCGATTTGTCCCAAACTTGCGTTGCCACGTTTCCCGCTGTTACGGTTTCACGAATATTGCAATACGTTATTCTTAAATATAGGGACACGCTCGACTCGATTATACATAGAAATATTAACGCGGTAATGTCGGCGCAAAAGTGGGAAATTTAATTAAGGGAATCTTCCCTCCTCCCTCCTCCCCCCCCTATACAAAAATGTGCGTTCTGTTTCAATTATTTCATTTAAAATATTTTAAATGATTTATTCCGATATTGTACGCACGTCGCAAATTTTATTTCGCTTACATATGCGCGTAAAATGTACATACCGTAGCCACGAAAATTAATGAAGCCCGCCGTGGAAAAACCGCAGCATTATTAATTGGAGCGTTTGATTTTGATTAAAAACGACACTTCATAAGCAACGTCCCGATATTTACTTCATTTATGATAAACGTTCCCAACTGTGTCCGGCATTTCAGCGCTTACTTACACACGTTTAATGCACTTTTTGTCGTTTTCCACGTGCAACATTTCACCTGAAACCCATCCCGTCGCAATGCTATTCGATAACAAGTTTCGCAGCGTAAAAGAGAAATCAGGTTCCTCCCGAACAATATCGTATAATTATTATTTGTGTAATTAATTATACATATGTATAATTGATATATAATGTATACTCACGATTATATATATATATTCAATATAAATAAATGTATACAGTTGGAGTAGCGAAATTATATGTATTTAAATTGCAGAGTAATGCGAGTTTTTATATTACCGTCGCATACGTGCCGTTAATGCAGTCAAGCGTACATTTTGAATGAGGTTTCGTGAGAGAGGCCAGAGTTTTAATGAAATTGTTCGTACTGATGAGAGTAACGAGCGTCATATAAGGGTCCTCGTGTAATGTGCGTACGCTTAAAAAAAAATATCTGAAACGCGAACGTGTCGCGCGCGTTTTTATTTTTTACCCTTCGTCAGTAATCTCATTGCGACGGCGTGATTAAGGTTCTCGTGATTTAAAGTGTTACTTCAGCCGGAATAATTGTGAAAACAGAACGCGATCCGCGTGTAAAAGCACTCCTCCCCTGCGGTTTCGCCCTCTAAAACTGTATTTATTTTATTTAAATTATAATTTTCGTGACGATTTCGTGATTCAACGTACAATGCTCCAATTTCCCCCGCAGTCTGAATCTAATTAATGAATTTGCAAGCATCGCGCATTTCAAAATATCCTATGGAATTTGCAAAAGTGTATAAATATCGTTATTGTATATTAGTAAAACTGATATTGTGTCTATACGTGTCCCGGCTGTAATTGTGCCTCGCATTTGACTGAGAATTATTGTCCGTCGGACAGCCGAGCTGCGGTGTGTCGAAACGAACTCAAAGCATTGATAAAAGGCTCCGTCTCTTTTTTACGATGCATCCGCGCCGTTTCGGTTTGCAACGAGAAATTCTTTCAGATTGAAATGCACGAATCGCGCACTGCGTCAAAGGAGAATATTTGAGATTGCAGGTTTGAATGAGGTTCACGATCTAATCAGACGCGTCCGTCGTCGATCGAAAATTGTAACAAATTCGACCTTTGTAATCGTGTTACGACAAAAGGAATAATTTATTAGTCATCGATAATAGAGTATATTTTTGCATTCAAAAGAAAGAACAATCTGCAAATGAATGTTTGCGTAACCGCGCGAGAGTAACGAATTATAAAACTAATTCTTCTGGTAGTGGAAGTGTTGTGATATACGAGCTTTTTAACTTGATCTCTCAAGTTTGCTGCAGCCATGTATTTAGTTATGTTCGCAAAGTGATCTCTCGAAGCGTACGGTTACCTTAGCTAAGTTAAGGCAGTCGCGAAAATTGAGCTTATCTCGCGCCACTCGCTTCATCTTCCCCGACTTAAGGAGATCGAGCACTTGGTATTCTCGCTCGATAGCCATTATCTGATCACGCGGCCAGCTTATTTCGCTTCATTTGTCGATCTCCGTCGACGTCCCATTACGAGCCGCAAGCTCTCCATCTCTGGTGTTCGCCTATGGTCCGCCGGATTTGAGAACCAACGACCCGTTTCGTGAGATACGGTGCCATGGCATTAGCGACCATTCGGACGTCCCGCCAACTAGTGAACTCTAATTTGCGGTCCCCGCTAATTGAGGAACGAACGCGAGACTGGCGTGATTGCACCGGCAGACAAATGAAGAGATTCCCGGATACGACAGGACCTCGCGTTATCATAGTTTCGAAGTTGTAACCCAATAATAGTAACAACTCATGGTATTAGCAACTAAGTTATCGAGAGAAAACACAAGGTTCTGGACTTTTATCGCAGTTTTCAAGATACCCGAACAGAAATTTCTGAAGCGAGCTCTTTGCGCGACGACAGAAATAAATCCTGTATTAACGAAACGGGTTTTTTTCTAAATGCCGATACGAATTTTCGTCCACGAGAGAGAAATGCTATTGAAGGTAGAATACTTGCCTGGCGTGACGAGAAGCGCGATGCCAAGGAGCAGAGCTCTTGTCGCCACTTCCACGATTCGTCGGAAGCCCCTGCGACACCACCGTAACCGATGCCTCTTCTCTTCGTCGTCCTCTTCCGCCTCATCGTTTTTACTCGCGTGCTCGAAAAGGCCCAGACAAAGCCGCAGCTTCCGGTACACCGCACCGATCTCATCCGATTCGGGCATGCGTCGCTTCAGAGTCTCCTTTTTCTCAACCGCTTCGCTCTCCTGGCGCCTGCACGATCGCCGGCAGCCTGTGCAGGTAGGCTGACCGGAAGCGAGGATCGCTTCGTGGTCAGTCCTCCTAAGTGGAAGTCGTTCTTTCATTATATAAGCGATTTTACCTCAACACTTGTATCTTATTTTATTGACCATTAATGCTTTATGCAAATCCTTTTGCATCTTATAGGGCCAGTTTCAGAAACGTCGGTTAACTGCTAACCGAAGGTTAATCGATTCTCTGTCTCTTCTTAGAGAACAACGTAGAAAAAGATAGGAAGTTGGCTGAACTCTGGTTAACCGACGTTTGTTAAATTGGCCCTTAGAGACCTTTAAAGCTTTACGTTTATCCATTATTTCTCATCCATAAAGAGTGTCACTTTATATTATTTTATTAACTATCAATCGGAGTTTTTATATCTTTCAGCTGTAAAAGTGTACAAGTAAAAATTATAAAAATATGGTTGGCTCCTAAAATGACTATAAATTATAGATGAGATTGTGGTAACTGCAACCATTTTTTCCTGTCAGTGTATAATTTTCTTTCATCTGTACGTGGAATGTCATATCGATATTATTAACAAAACAATGAATCGCGCAAGTTTACTCTCTCTCTCTTTCTTTCTTTCTTTCCATTTTACACACGTTGAAGGCTAAGATAACTGCTGGAGAAACGTGCAAAGCAGATTTGACCGCTGGACAAATGGACCGCATTTCCTCGCCGCGACATCCACGATCAGTTACCTGTCCTCGTAGTCGTCACACGCGGCGTTCTCCTCGGTAGCATGGTAGCTGTCGTGCCTTAGGGACCGCAGACCCTGCGAACAAGTTCCTCCGGTACACTGGAACTCGAGCCTTCGCCGGAGGTCCGTGGCTTGTAGCCCTCCTCCGCCCCCCATACCCCCGCTCCCATAGTACCTGCGGGTATAAGCGGTCGACGTCCGCGTTATAGCTACAGCACACGCGGGCGGTAACAATCATCGGCCGGTCTCCTCGGTGGAAGGTGAGCTGTGGCCGGTAAATAACACGTCGCTCGATATGTCGCACAAGCCAGGCAGCATCCGCGGTAAATAAGAAGCCGTAAACTATAGTGCGCGCGCTGCCGCAGAAAGGATCGGATGTGTCGCCAAGGGACAGTAAATAACAATTGCGAATTTATGCGACGTATCGAATGTCGCGTTAACCGTCGCGGCCGACGGTAAAATTTAATCCCGCAAAAATTCGTGGGTCTTTCTATACGTGAAACAAAAGGGGGGCAGTTTTATTCTTAATTTCGAATCCAATCGGCACGCCTTGATTGACGTGGCGTAATAATTAAATGGTTGTCAGTAGCGTCGAATTCGCGTAAAAAAAAAAAACGTTAAGCGTATAAGCGTTTGTGCTAATGGGGATAAGTTGTATGTAAAGCTGAGACGGTAAGACAGCGGATTATCCCATCTCTTTACGAAAATGAGTCGCCGGATCAATGCTCGGCGAGCTTTAGACAAGATCTGGCTCGCTTATTCGGTTTTATCCCGCTTTGTTTTCTCACTGATGTAAATGAAATTCGCTCACCCCTGCCGCTCCGCTACCACTACCGCTGCCCGGATCGTACGCCCCCGATACCGATTTTTACGAACCTCGCCACTTCCTCGCCGTTCTCCACAGGCACTTTAACCCCCGCAACGTATCGCTCTCATCACCTGCAATAGAAAAGAAACACGTTCGTCAGGCGCGTTTAATTGGAAAACGATCTTTACTCGCCGCCGTCAGTAAAACGTTAAATATTATTATTATTAAATAACACATCGCACATATAATTACTAGTGACAATGGATTGCGTATCTATTAATTGTTGCGTACGGATGAATCATTATTCCATACACTTGCGCGGTCGATTAATATTCTGCGGTTATGGCTATATCTTTGCACAATAGTCATTAGCACACGTGCGCCCGCGCATCCATACGTGTGTACGTACAGACGAATGAATCCTTTGGTAGATGGTTGAAATTCCGTATAGGCGAAACATGAATCGATTCGATTAGCAACATACGTGCTCAGATACAAGCTTGATTGATTCAATTTGGGTTTCGGCCTCTAGCAATGCTTAGACAGGGGTAGACGCTCCGAAGATGGACTGGTAATTATATCACGTTTGGAGGCTGCCACGTGACCTGGCAGGGGATAGAGTAGCATTAAATGATCCCGGACGAGAGAAATTAAATATTTCTAACCCTTGGAGCGTGTGACGTGAGCACCATAACTTAATCAACCGGCTCCAATTTAAGGTCTTTAATGTTTCAGCGCCATCACGGATGATCACAAATGCGCCGTTCTATCCGAGAGCGCGCCGTGTATATTTACGCGATATCAAATCTTTATTCCGACTGGATACGATTTTATATATCTAATAAAATCGAGCTGTGATTGCTGTAACGCCGAAATTTCAATGCTGTTGCGATAACTGAAAAATGTTTTAATAATTCGATGTAACTAATGAGCGACAACGCTGATTATGAGGGTATATGCGGTGGAATTGTAAATTAGCTGCGATTGCATTTGATGCTGCAGTGCTTAACTTCAATGCAGAAAGTAGTCGCGATTTAATGCAAATTATATTACGATATATGCCCACGAGGTATTACGGTCACGGAATAATGGCGCGCGGCGACCCTCACAGATTATTTATCGCGCGTCAATACGCGAAGATTTTACTTCATTCGGGGCACGTTCGTGTAATACTAACTCCGATGGGAATTACGACCGTTCTGCTAATAAAATGGCCGTACTACTGATGTAATAGAGAGAGAGCAGGTGCGTATTAGACACTCCCGTTCGGTGATTCCGCCGAGAGTCCGTATTGGACGAACGATGGAACGAATTTCTTTTTGTTCCACGTTATTAATGGAATAAGGTCTTAAAATATTGGATTTTTCAAGTACTGCGGAGGCTGAATTATTTTTTTTTTGCATCTGATTGAATTATTTCTCATTTTTTTTATGTATGATGAAACTGTTCCGATAAAAACGAATTAATTAGATAATAGACAGAGGGACATTAATTTTGCCTAGTTCTTTAATAAACGGCGCAATCTCCGTCGGAGGAAAAGCTGTAAAATTAATTTTTGCATTAAATGAATAAGTAATATAGTATAATGTTGCACAGTAATCTGCGAGCGAATGCCGCGGTAAAGTTACACCGTAAGCTTACAGTGCTCTTATTTATGATCACCGTCGGCTACTAATGCTGCAACATCAATCAGGTGTTGTTATTCATTCAATGCTGAGCCAGATGGAAGATTAGACGCTTGCGCTTCCTTTAAGGATCCGTATAACAGTAAGTGGAAGTTAAATTCTTGTACGCGTGTCATCGCAACTGTCGCAAAACGACGCTCCTCGTATCATTGTTACTCACGCGTTATAATTTATGCGTAATACACATGTATTGCCATTTGTAAAACTCGCGAGATATCGCGTTCCGACGATACGGTTAACGATGCTCCATGAACGATTAATCTCGTGCAATTTCGTAATTTTTTAGTGCCGCGGAGAGCGCTTGTAGTTACGTATTGCGAAAGTCGCGTGACGATTCCGCGAGATATCGCAGAAAGCGCCGCAAGTATTTTCTGTCGGGTTAAAGCGCGGTCAGAATTGACTTTTCGAACAGACATTGGTTACCTTACTATCTCCGACTTTATGGCCGATATTATTTCCAGAGTAAAGTCACGTTTTACTACCTCGCGTCAAACTACCCTAACTCAGATGGCGGCGGGGTTAGGGATTCCTACTTCATGACCGAGATTGGACCGATGAAGACCGCGATTCCGAGTCAGTTCGCAGATTTAATCGTCGGCAGCTCGATCAGGGGGGGATCGTCACGAAAAAAATGGCCCTTTTCTGCGGATTTATCCGCGATTCCTAATTCTGCCATTTTAATTCTTTTTTCTTTCATGGACGTTTTACAGATCGGCGCTCCTTGACTATTGACGAATTATATGTTTTATTGATCGGACGTTGAAGTCGAATAGAACAACTTGCTACGCGCGAGGGAATATTTATTGTCTCGCTCATAAATATGGATTTCGGCAGCTCGGGACCCAACCGTGATCGATCGAATTTAATAGCGCGGAATGATCTTTCGATTAGATTTCACGATTCTACCGACTTGCAAGATGAAGTCATTTCGCAGTCGAAACTATTCCCAAGACCCAAGGGGAGTATTCGGGTCGGCGCATAAATGGCGTCTACCTCGCGCAAGTCGTCGCCTTGAAGAGAGGAATACCGGAGTGGATGGTACGGTCGGTGCTGCTGATAGAAGGTGTTGGATTGCAGTGTTTAACAATGGCACATGTCGCCCACGCAGTTGCGGCCCACCAAAGGGGCTGCGACACCGGCTGTCGTAACTCGTCTTCGTGTTCCTGAGTTATTAGGGCCGAGCCGGTGGGACTGACCAATTCCTCTCTCTCTCTCTCTCTCTCTTTCTCTCTGTTTGTCTGTCTGTCTCTCCCCCTCTCTCCTTACTTTTCTCCCCCCCCCGAAACAACCCTTTCCAACATGTACGCGATCTAAATGTCCCCCGATATGACACTTATCATATTCGATTGGGCTGTAAATCGAACCGACTATGAAAAATTCAACACCGGACATCGATAGTTCAAATTCTGGCGCATAAGTGACAAAATAAAAAAAGAAACGTAAAAAAGGTAAATGCAAGAAGTCGACTCGGAGATATTACGTCGATCCACTTCGGAAAAATATTTTTGCGAGTTTTTATAACCGCGCTTGTCATCTGTGCGCTGCTCCGAATACTTTCCGGTCCTGGAAATAATTCCGACTGCCAAATTTTATCTCACGGTTGAAAGATCATTGTCATTGATATTAAATCGATTGTTCGTTCGAGTTTTTACACTTTTTCATGAACCATAAGACGCGAAACCGGCATTGCTCGTATTTACGGATTAGACCCCTCGTCGCTCACAAACGTCACTTGTGGCGAATAACACGCGGCATAAGATCGATATCGGCAGGATCGATAATTCAACGAGTGAGTTTCTTCCTGCTCGTATAACGCGATCTGCTTTCGTGCTTTAATGCAATTCGTTGCACCGACGTTGCTTCGTCCGACGCGCTGTCATTTCGAAACAAAACGAAACAGTCGGCTAATTGGCTCGCGTCAGGACTATACGTCCCATGTGATTTCA